TAATTTGTTTGAATGTTACGTAGTAGAATCCTGGAAGGTTATAGTGGGTTTGAGAAATGGGACCTTTATTTTTGTATTTTAGTGTTTGTAATCAACCTAAGTATTAATTTTGGGCGTCAAAATTGTAATGGACTTTTACAAAATTATAGAATTTAAAGTAATTGTTGGGTATGAAGTCGATACGGTATTATACCGGTATACCGCAGTATTTGAAAATATTTACCGTGTATCAAAATGACGGTATACCAATATTCCGGAATTTTCCGGTATTTTCGGTACGGTAAGTGCGGTATAACGATTTTCCGATATTCTTGTTCACCCCTAGGTACAAGGGCTATTTGACGACCCTTTAGCCTTTAAAATTTGGTGTTATTTAAGTTGTGAGGTTGTGCGCTATTTAATTCATAGATTTGTTGTGGGACATTTCGTTAACTAATTCAAAATATTGTTTTAATTTTTATTTTAAAATTTTACTATATTATGGTTACATTGATATTTATTTAGTTTGAGAATGTTATTATTCACTAGCTACTTTTCTAGCGCAGCTATATTTTATATAGGAATAGTATTGATTACTGGGATCTGCCTAGATCGTGCCCACCTCTTGGTCAAAGTCAAAGAGATGAACCTAATATACAAGTTTTTTTTTAATAATCTTAAGTAATGTTCTAAAAGGCCTGACGGCACGCTAAAGCCCTAATCCTTCGAAGCCTATGCGGGTGTGAGCGAGCGTGAAAAGGCATTTTGTTTTTTCCTTTTATTTTAATTTTTTTGAGTATTTTTTTTTTGGGAAAGTTTCTACAATAGGACTAAAACAGTTTCAAAATTTCAAAATAGAACTGTCATGTTTTTTATTCCCAAAATAGGACTAATTACTGACATGTTTGAAGTCTGGTACTGCCAAAACATGGCAGTAATTAGTCCTATTTTGGGAATAAAAACATGGCAGTCCTATTTTGGAATTTTCAAACTATTTTAGTCTTATTTCGGGTAATATTCTCTTTTTTTAACATGTAAATTCAATACTAAACAATATTCTTTCATCCTATTATATTGTCTCATCTTCCTTTTTTATCTATCATACTAAGTTATTCTCATACCACATTTGGTGATATTTATGGATTTTGATTTATTATTATTTTATTCACATTTTAACAGTTTAATACTAATTACATAACTTTACTTTTCTTAATATTCACACCACTCTATAAAAATAAAGGTAGAAGTATCTTACAAGATCATCTTACCGTTTCTAATTTCCAACCCAATATAGATTCCTAAAATTGTACATCTTTCAAATATAGATTTACCTATTACACAAAAACTAGAATCAGATAAAACGGTTTATGGTAAAGTCATAATCATTATTGTTTTAATACAAGTAATAATAATACTCCGTAATAGTTATGGTTGTTCAATTGTTCAGCGTATTTAGAATAATAATTTTATAAAACAAAACAGTTAAAGAATTTAACAAATGGGTGTGTAGACGGGAAGTTGGAGCCAGAGTATAAATTTACTAGTGCATAAACAGTCGATTAGTCTCACATCGGTGGAAGAGGCGAATTCCTCCTCTCTCATGCTGCGTGTTAAAATTATGTTCCACTTCTTTGCAATAAATAAATTGGAAGAGGCGAACTCCTCTTTACCGTCCATAATAAATTGGACTGTTCTTGCTATACGCATGTGTACACATGTAATAAGAATGATTTTTGCATCAAATTTTGCCCTTTTTTAATGAATTGTGTGTATGCATAGATAACTAGAGAGTATTTGTGTACATTTCGTGAAAAAATTGGCTAATAAGCTTGATAAGTCGAAAAACAGTGTTCCCAAACGGTCTCTGAGATTTTTCTTATAAATTAATAAGTCGAAAAACAGTGTTCCCAAACGGTCTCTGAGATTTTTCTTATAAATTAATGTAGCAATTTGTCCCAATTCATTAGACTAAAGCTTTGTTCATCTTGTTAGTCTCACACTCTCACGCCTACTCTTGGCCGGGCGGCGCCTTTTGAAGACTTTTAGAGCACTGATCTTAAGATGAAAATTAAAGCAGATGTTATTCTTTTTTACTTTGTGTGGTTAAGGGATGTGTTAAATTGGATTGAAATTGTGTGTTCTGATTTAGTTTGAAAAAATAAGTGCAATTAAAAATATTCTAAATTTAAAACGGATTACTTACCCGGGAAACCATGATTTATAATTCATATGGGCATTTCAAAATAATTAATGTGTAACACCTAACACCTAATATATGATCACAATACAGATTGCGGAAAATATCAATGTGATTTGGTAAATTTTAATGACCATAATTATTTTCAAATTTTACATCACATTGACTATAAAAATATAGAGAAAATTCTTAAATAAGACTAAAATATAGACTTTTACTATTCCCGCCCCATTTTATGTGTCCTACATTGGTTTGACATAATCTATTTATATGTAAGAAAAGAAATAGCTCTGCCAAATACCATTTTGCCCCTCCAAATGCTTACGTGTTGCTCATTCCACTTTTCTCTCCTTTCTTATTGTGATGCCACCTGACCTTATAATCTCTTAAGGGAAATGGAATTGGTGGTCCCATGTTGAAAAAACCCCCAAATTTCTTAAAAGTGTTACAACTTTTTCATTTTTACTCCAATGTTTCTAAAAAATATATCAAAATTCATAATTTTTTGTGATCTTTCTAATGAGATCAATATTTAATATATAAAAATATAATTTACTAACGGCCTCAATAATTATACTTAAACTTATTTATATTTATATACAACAATATTGTATATATAAAATTTTTAAAAAATATGAAGGTTTATCAAATCTTCATATTTTCCAACCACAATATCAATTATTCCGTATTAAATGAATAAATAAATTCTAATATATAACTAAAATAAGGATAATAGATATAAATATGACTTATTAATTTTTTGTTAATATAATTGTGTTTCAAATTATATCAAAGTGACTATAAAAGGATACTCATATCCAATTTAGTTACATTGTTGTATATGCAATATTTGTTTTATGAAAGATCATAAAAAACTATGAATTTTAATATGTACGTTGTGATGTATATCGTGCATCTTTACCATTAGAAATAGCAAAGAAGGGTAGCTAACTCATGAGATGTGCAATTCAATTTCTAGGACAACAAATTACACACATGAATCTCATCATAAGAGAAAATTTGGACTGGTAAAACGGGACAAAGGAGTAATTAATACTTTGTAGGATTCATGCACTTCTAATTAGGGAATCTATATACTTCTATGAGGATCAAATAAGTTCTATATTGGGAATAAAACATCGTTAGTCCTATTTGTACACTTTGTCTATATTTTAATCCTGTTTAGAACTATTTCTTAAGTATATATTCATAGTCACTTTAGTCAAACACTTTGATAATTTTTAGTTTAGTAATAGAGGAGAAACTTGAGTGTATAACTACTTTACTTGTTGGTTATAGATTATTCTATAATAAATTCAAAAATGATTCCAAAATAAGAGTAAGTTTTTTTTTTAAATTTCAATGTATGACCTTATCATTTTCATTTTTAAGTAAATAAATTATTGTTCAAATTAATTCTCTCTTCTCTGCACGAACCTCAATCAAACAATTTTACATTATTAATTCACGCGACACTCAAAATTCACCGAGTTTTATGGGACGGGCATATGTTGAAGAATAGAAATATAAAAGCTTATCAAATTAGTATTGAATGAGCACTATTTTAATAATAAAATCAAATAATACTCGTATAATAATGATATTCATGATCAAGATAATCAATATATATATATATATATATATATATATATATATATATATATATATATATATAAGAGGAACTTTTTAAGAGCATACAAAGCGCCACATAATCCTGCCATGTCATTATATATAACAATTACTCGTATTTACTTATTTTTATACCTTTTATTTTTATTAAATTCTATATTTGATTGCATATTGATATGGAAACAAAAATCCTTATAAATCCACCTTAATTAATTTGGTAAGCTTCAAATAAGTAAAATAATTTTTGGTTATCAAAGTGAAATTCTAATAACGTTTATTGATATGGAAACTAATTTATATTAGTTTACTACACCGAATTAAATAGAAACAAATATGCAAATTAGTTTACTTATTAATCTGACACCTATTAATAAATTAGTAAGCTTCAAATAAGTAAATAATTAAAAATGAAATTAAAAATTATTACCAACATAAAGTATATATATTTTCACAAGTAAATATGTTTAGTTTAGCCAAATAAGTGAATTTTTTTGGTTGTTTCTTTATTTTACACCTAAAATTCAAATACGTCTTCACTTTTGAAATAGATTCCTAATCCAAATTAGAAAATCTTTATAGGTTTACGAATTCCTAGTTTTATTTTAATAGAATGTTTTTAATTGGATTGATTTCAGTTCCAGATTAAATCAGATCAGATTAAACTTTAATAATTATAACAATAAGTCACATAAAAAACAGACATCTAATAGACCATATTAATTCATACCAAATCAAACCCGAAATTTTAATTCAATTAAAAACGTTCTTATTAATGAGTAAACTGTAAGATCTAACCATTAAGAAATATAGAATTTTTTTTATTATTGGGTTCATAACAATTATGTTTACTTGAGATTCTTATGTAGAAGACCATGCCAATTTAACTTTTTTTTCATATATTTTTTTCTTTGTTTCACAAATGGAATATATTTCACATATATTTTTCATGATTGAGAAGATTCCGCCTATTTAACCAGAATTCAATCAATTTCAGCAAAATAAGTTAATTCTATTTACTTTAGTATTATCAAACAGACTCTATATCAGACTAAGTTAATTTTTCTTTTAAATCACATTATATGTGATCCGATAGAAATTAAATTTCAAATTAGCTAAATTATATACCGGACGAGGTTGAAAGCTAGTACCTACTATGGTATGTTTGGCTTTTAAATATTAAGAGATGCGTACGTACATGTGATGCTGCCTTGATGATGGTATCGGGAGAATAAGAATGGCCCACAGACTGAAATTCCCGGTCAAAGACGGAAAGCAAAGTGTCAATAAAGTCCCGATCATCCTCAACGCCGTCGCCAGCGGCGGCGTTGGATCTCCGCCTCTCCACATGCTCATCCAACCATTTCTGATAGACACCATTGAGTTCTTTAGCGGTTCGTTTCATGGACGCAATCTTTCCGCCAAAATCCAACCACCTGAACAACCCGGTCGGGTAAAATGCATCTCCGGGAACAAGCTCCCCGGAAAGGCGATTAAAGTCGGCGAATGCTTTAACCAAACGGCTTGTCTCTTCACCGTCGACAGCCTTGTTTGGCGGGTACTTGTATCGGCTCCCGCTGATCAGCTTAACTATTAAATTCAACGTCAAGTGCCTGAACCATTCACTTATGTTCACCGGCTTTGATGCCCCTGCGGTACTAGTGTAGAGTTCTTTGAGGTTGGTGTGCAATTCCGACATCCAAACAGGCTTTAGTTTCTCAAGCGTGTTGTTTGAGAGCATTTCTCCCACCATCTGCTTCCGCATGCTCCGCCATAATGGGCCGTGAAGCGCCAATGGCAATACGGCGTAATCATACCCCATATACTTTCCTATATGATTGAATTGACTATGGTTTCAAAATAGAGCAATTTTGGTGTCCACATTTTTAACCACGATTCTCACATTTTTATATTTATTTGACGAATTATCTACACACAAAATAGGGGATACACAAAAAATATAGATTATACTCATATACAAAATGCATACAAATAAATTTTTCCTTCAAAAACTCTAATCTTATTTTGAACAAAAAACATATTCTTTTTTTTAGTCAATGATGACAAACTTTAGATAATGATTTTAATATTTATATACTACTCCCTCCGTCCCCCAATTAAGTTACCACTTTCCTTGTTGGACAGTCCCTAAATCAAGTTTACACTTCCTTACTTTCCTTATTTGGCAAATTATCTACATCAAAACAATGTCAAACAGTGCCAAACAGTGTTTAAACACTACAAAACAGTGCACTCCACAGTAAAGTCAAATTTATTTTCTTAATACGTGTGAAGTAAAACCGGGAACTTAATTGGGGGACGGAGGGAGTATAATTTATAAAATTTATACTTTTATGAAAATATTTTGAATAAGAAACATTTTGATATAATTTTCATATCTAAAACAATTTCATATTAAAACATCATTTGTCAAAGTTGATAACCATTAATCAAGAAAAGTCAATTTAACGAACCTTTCTAGGACGGAGAGAGTATTTTATTCGCTTAGAAAATATTGTACGGAGTATTAATTTAGTACTACCTTCGTTTCATATTGATCGTCATGTTTTAATTTGGTCTAATTATTAATAAAGTGATTGAAAAGTAAAAGTCGTAATTGATATTTGAATATAATAAAATGAAATGATAACAACCGTCCATTCTTGTCAAAAAATAGAAAACAGTATCTTCATTTTGGAAGAACAAAAAAAGAGAATAGGACAATCAAAAGTACGACAAAGGGAGCACTAGTTGACATCTTTTTTCGAGAAAAAATAGTGTATCCTAAAAAAGGATGACACCTTATCCCTGAAGGCCTCTAAGTTCAAACGGACGATAAGTTAGGAGAATGTAAATTGAACATTGATGATAAGTACGTATGTATATGATAAGTACGGCTGAAATGAAATGCATTTTGATAATGAACACTTTTATTTGGACTATTATAATATCACTAAATGGTTCTTTACACAAATTTTCACCAAAGTATTACTATTATCATCTTTAATTTATTTATGTTTTATTTGTATTAATGTAAAAAAGAAGGCCCAATTTTTTTTGGGTGCACAGGACCCCATTTTCTCAAGACGGACCCTGCTAGCTAGTTATTTTTTAAACATTTGTATTACTGAAACGCAAAAAAAATGTTTATATTAAAATGTTTAATGAACAAAATAACCTTATTTCAAAAATGTGTATAAAACACTATTTTCGTTTATAAAACACTATTTTGTTTAGTAACTAAGGTTACTAAACAACATTACTAGTGGCGGCGCAGAATAAGGACAGTCGCAGCAGGACAGCTGTTGCATAGGGACGGCCGCGGTGGAGCGCAGGCACAGGGACGGAGGCGGCCCCGCTTTACTATTAGCATTTTCCGATTTTTTTTGTTAAATGAAGGCAGTTTAATTTGACCTTCATTACCAGTTTTACACTTTTACTCCAATTATAATACAAAACTCATGATACTTTTTTTAGGCCTGGGACCGGTTCGGTTCTTACTAAAAAATAGTGGAACCGTTATTTAAATTTTAACAAATGAAATCGGTTCGGTTCCTATATAAAAAATCAAGAACCAATATGGAACCGAACCAATACTAAAAGGTTCGGTTCTTGCTTTTATCGGTTCCTAGAATAATTTTTTTCGTGTAAGAATAAACACATAGTTTAGCTTCTACGGTTCTACCACATGAAAACGTTAAAAAGTCAAAATAAGTCATAAACATTTATTTAGAGTTCTAATCACTCCACACATCAAAGCCCGGACTTAAGTGAACACTTAATAGAATAAAAAGAAGATTTTAATTTTCAGTTAATACATAAAATATAAAAATCGTTCGTTATGTCGTTGAAATGAAGGTTGCTCATCATTATAGTGGCAAGGATATGACGTACACTTTATGCCTCTCAAAACCTAGAAATACATGTACATCCTATTGATGGAAGAAAACTTGATTTGTAAAAATGAGCTTAATGTATTCAACCTCATATGCAAATATTTATTATTTTTGTTTTTATAGATTAAACTAAATTAAAATTATTGGCTAAATATCATTCATTTATTATTATTGTTGTTGTGTTTATTTTTGTTATATTAGTATTACTACTAATACTACTACTATTATTTTTATTTTTATATTTTTAATATCGATTCCTTAACGGTTCCGTGCATATATTTTTTATAGGAACCAGGAACCGAATCGTTAACAACAACTAGGAACCGAACCATTAACAACTAATATCTCATTTGTAGGAACCGAACCGAACCGAGTTATAACGGTTCGGTTCCAACCGATTTAACGGTTCCCAGTTCCAAAATCTCACCCCTACTTTTTTTTACAGATTCACCATATTTTAATCCTATTTAAGTCATTTTATTTTCTCTTTATTTGAAGATGACAACTCCAGTACCCACCTAAAAATTGCGATACCGTACTTACTATTCACTTAATTGGTCCAAATCATTATATTAATTTTAATTTAGATTTAAATAATTCAAGTGCGTCATTCTGATTGGTGGACAAACCTATAGTAAGTAGCCTAGAATCTACCTTATTTGAATGTGGGAGAGTTTTGAATTTACCAGCACACGAAGAGGGGCGACTGGCAAGGATCTTATCGTTAGTAGAGAAAGAGTCCATGGCGGTTTCCCAGCTGCTGATGACGACCGACCGTTGCATCCCGACCCGGATGGTAAATATGGGTCCGTACTCATCAGCCATCGCTCCCAATGTTCGAGCCAACGGTTGCTTCACGGCGGTTAGCTGCCGGAGATGCCCAATCAGAGGCCATGCACCGGCAGCCTCCGGTGGCAGTAGCACCTTAGTATTGTTCTTTTTCATTCGCCCCCATGATGTCATGCTCAAGAAAACTAAAAGCAACCCAGCTATGCCTAATAATAATATGGAATAATTGGAGACCAATGAAAGGAGAATTTCCATAGCCATCTTCGTTAATCTGTAGGTGGATAGTGTATATATATACATATGGCAATGAATAATCTTCTCATTCGTCTTCCGACCAATATCATTTCAGGTCTTTGTAGGTGGATTTTAATCATATTCTTCATCTATCAACCGTAGATTAGTTCAACAAAATTTCAACTAAAAATTAAATCCGAAAGTCTATTGAAAAAATTATTGAAATATATTGCACTTTATGTATATAAATAAAGTGTAATGTGTTTCAATAATTTATTTAACTAATTTTTCAGAATAATTTTAAGCTAAAATTTTATAAAGGTAATCTATATTTGATAAAGAACGTGATCAATAAATTTTATCTAAAAATTAGATTCAGAAGGCTGTCAAAAAGACTTAGCCAAACGACGAATCATATCAGACCAGTCTAACGAGATGATTATCTCGATATGGCTGTATCTTAATAAGTTCTTGATCAAATGATGATCAAAGTGAACTGATAGCATTTTTTGGATGTCCCATTAAATTTGTCAATTTCCCTTTTAAATAAAGAATTTATGATTCTAGTTAATTCTCTTTTCTCTGCACAAATCTCAACCACATGATTTCTACTTTATTGATTCTCGTGCCGCTCAAACTTCACAAAATTTTAAGGGACGGGGGGAGTATGAAATAATTTCAAATACCGAGTATGAAATTTATATGAAAAGATTTACTCCATCCGGTTCTCAAACCACTTCCCACTTTCCTTTATTCTCTTTCCTTTGCACAAATTCAAATCACATAATTTCTACTTTATTAATTCTCGTGCCACTCAAACTTCGCAATGTTTTAAGAGACGGAAGGAGTATGATATAATTTCAAATATGGAGTATGAAATTTATATGAAAATATTTACTCCTTCCGCTTCTCAAACCACTTCTCACTTTCCTTTTCGGGAAATCCCGAAATTAACTTCACATTTCTTCTTATTTCCTTATTTGGCAAATTATCTACACCAAAACAGTGCAAAACAGTGTCCAAATGGTGTCAAACAGTGTATTCCACAGTAAAGTAAAATTTATTTTCTAAATCTGTGTGAAGTCAAAGCGTGAAACTTTTAACAACCTGAGAGAATATTTAAATTTATCAAGATTGGGAAAAGCCAATTGAACTTATGGAAAGGAGTGCATATTATTGTATAGATGCAACTTGACAGTATGTGGTTATCAAACCTCTGCGAGCACAGAGCACTTACTAATTTACTATTACATCCACTGCTCATAAATCATTCATACCCTATAATACAATTTGTAGGTGCCTTTAACCATGCTGTAAAGAGTGCCCATAACATTTTGATTGCGCCGGCACATACGGAGTAATACGGCGTATTCCCTTTTTCTTACCAAATTTGACTAAATTTTGATTTGCAGTAGATTAATAAAAAAAGTGTGTGGTTAAAATTTGTGGAGAGGAAATGATAAAGTTTTTTAGCATAATCAAAAAAAGAAGTTTGATCAAATTTAATGACACATAGAGAGTGTACACATATACGTATAGGACAATGATCATGAAATGTTGAATTAAAATTTATAATTTTAGGTTTCTTTCGTTTGAAGTGTCGTAGTGTTGATCAAATTGAGGCCTATTTATCCATTTATTAATTGATGGTTTATACTACCTTCGTCCCGGTGGATTTTGCCAAGTGCAAAGTAGGTGAGGAATAATAATAGTAAAAATTATGTGGTTGAGATTTATGCAGAGGAGAGGGAAATGTGCATAACCACAAATTAGTTGCTCTAATAGAAAAGTGCCAAAGTTTTTTGGGACAACCAAAAAAGGAAAATTGGTAAAGTCCAATGGGACGGAGGGAGTATCATTTCTATTCTTACTTTTATTATTTGATGTGCCTTTAAAGTTTGAGGAATTTCTAAGCAACATAGGAAGTACATTTATGCATTTTTTTTTGGAATTTAGATTTTATTTAGTATTTTTTTAAGGAAAGAGAATTTTATTGAAAAAAGTGAAACAATACATAGAAAAGAAAAAAGAAAACAGTGCAAGAATTATGCATATATATAAGTGGTTCGAGTGAGAAAGAACTCCCAGGAGAGAAATGAGAATGAATCTAGACTGTTGAATTGTATTATGTGAAATTGAATTGTGCTTTTGGTAAAACTGAAATGTGCATTACGTGAAATTGAAATATGCAAAATGAAAAATAAAACTCAAATTTTTTGCAATAAAATGTGCACTAGGTGACACTGAAATGTGCATAATAAAATGTACGGTGTGTGACGTTATTTTTGTACCTTTTATTCCGCACATTTAAATTTCATCTAATGCACATTTGAGTTTAAATTTTTATTCCGCACATTTCAATGTGCATTATGTGAAGCTGCATTGTGCATTAGTTGACATTGAAGCTGCATCGTCTATTAGTTGACATTGAAGCTGCATCGTCTATTAGTTGACATTGAAATGTGCACTAAGTGACACTGAAATGTGCAGAATAAAATGTACGGCGTGATATTATTTTTGTACCTTTTATTCCGCACATTTAAGTTTCATCTAATGCACATTTGAGTTTAAATTTTTATTCCGCGCATTTCAATATCATCTAATGCACATTTCACTTTCACCAAATGCACAATTAAGTTCCACATGATACAATCCAACGGTCCAGATTCATTCTCATTTCTCTCCTAGGAGTCCGTTCTTACCGGAACCGCTCCCTATACACACACACACTACTCATATAGAGGGAGGTTCAAATACAAAGTACACCTTATATGAAAAGTGAGAAATAATTTTAGCCGTTAAAATAATAAAATGAATGGATCAGATCAATTTTAATGTGGAAACACAACTAATAAAAAACCTCGGTATATGCACAGATTTTGGCTCGGATAACCCCTTAAAATTCCCAGACTATCGCTCTTGACTCGGTTTTGGCTCGTAAAACAAATATGTGCCACCTGGGTCAATCCAAACGTGTTGGCACGGAATATAGGATCCGTGTCAACACTTGGCACGACCTTTGTCTAGAATTTCGCGTCCCAAACTTAGCACCAAATCCATCGATATTTGGCACGGGTATCCTTTGTCTCGGCATTTGCCTCGGATAGTAAGAACCCAACCGATTCAGTTTATATCGGTTCATGGATTGGATAAATCCGTGCCAAACAGTGTATCAGGTATAAAAAAAAGTACGGTATACGTTTTTTATACATTGTGTGTACGTTTTATTTTTTTTATTTTTGACAAAAATGAAATGTTTTTGACCATACATAACAATTCACAATTCACATATTCAACACCACATACATGCACAATAATCACAATTCACAACCACAAGCATAACATAAACTGTAATAAGCATAACATTAATAAGCAGTTGAAAGAAAAACTGTAAAACTGTAAGCAATCCAAGCAAATGGCTAAAAAGCCATTAGAAGCAGTTACAATAAAAAAATTGTTCAGAGTTTGGGAGTTCAATTAACAGCATTAAAAATATCATCCATGGACACTTCATGAGAGTCATTCAGAAGGCTGTTAATTTCGTGAGGGGTCGGTGTTCGGAAAGCTGAGAACTCGGGCAGCGGGACACTCGGGTTGACGCTCCGCACTTGCTCCAAATACGACATGAACATATTTGTCATGTTGGCCATTTGGGTTTGCCAAATCTACTGTTGGGCAAATCGGGCGTCAACCTGCTCCTGAATGCGGGCATCAATATCTTCTTGGCTCAGTCTCGTGATTCGGCTTGTGCAATCCATGCTGCCCGACAGCACCTTTGCCTCGGAACCCGTCCCAAACCGCCGCCCCTTGTACTTCGGCACCGCCTTGCAAAACAACTCCGAATCATCAATGTCAAAGGACTTCCCCTCAGATTATGTTTGGGCCTTCAGCTCATTGTACTTTTTCTACAAAATATTACAAACAATTATATTTAGCAAGTAAAATAACAACTATTACAAATATTACTACTCATGTATATATAATTAACGTACCCTCATTTCAACAACTCTTGGAGGAGGATCACCAGCCTTGGGCACATACACCTTCTCAAAAACCTCAATCTTTAAAGGATTTCTCTTCATAGATTCAGTATGTAATCACAACAATAATCTTATGTTAATTACCATTCTTTGAACATGTGTGGTCACCGGAATACGACCTCCACGATATTGCGAACCTCTTGCTGCCTCAATGCTACTGTTTTTTTCCTGCTTCACTCTTCTTCTTAAATTCTTCAGAACCCCAATACTCCTTAAGAACAGTCCAATGCTCCTTTGAAATCCACTATGGCTTCTCATCCTTTCGTCTAGCTCTCCCAATAATCTTGCTCAACCACGATGAGGCACGGGATGCAAACCGCTTCTTTATTCTTTTGCGGATGTAGGGATCCCATTGATATTTGTTCTAAACAAAAACATAAAACAGTGTCACAAAACCTATACAAAACATCAAACAAACTCCAATGTGATAACAAGGTTTTTAGCAACATATGAAACTATACAAAACCTGAAACAGAGTCCACCAATGCTCACGCTGGGACTCATCAGCATGCTTGTAAGAATGCCAAAGACCATGAAAGTTTGTCATTAGAATACTAATGATGGTGTCCAGAACAGAAGGTTTGCTACATAACAATGATTAAATAATGTTGTTATTAAATAATATTTGTTTTAAAATTATGTAATCTTGATTAAGACTATTAATTACCTTCTCATTTCCAAGAAGGTTACCATGTTTTTGTATGACATTGGGAAGGGATGTCATCATTCACTCCGGTGGGTGGTTCACTACCAGCTCTGCAGTGGACTGATTCAAGATCAAGTTCGGTATTGGGAGAGTTGTGGTTCACAATAGCTTGCCGGCGGTCTGTGGTGCTTCCACCACGACTGCGACCACCACGGCTAGAACTAAAAGACTGAAGACTACTACCTCCACCAGACATCCTATTGAATTGCATGACAGTACAAATTTCATACAAGGCAATAATATAATTTCATACAGTATAAATTTAATCCAGAA